TTTAATCTTAACTATTCGACGTGCTTCTTGCATATAATTTTTGTTCTTAGATTTGCTGTGTTTGGTTCGCTCACATATATAACTCTAATATTGCATTTTATACCAGCTAATGAGCTGAGCAATTCATTGAGCTAAAGTAAAGCTTTTTTCTTCGATTAGTTTTGGGCCTTTTGTTCTAGTTGTAACGGTATGATTTTTGCCTTTATTTTTTCCGAGGGACTGGGGTTAGTGGATTAGGAATGAAAAAATCTTGCGTATCGAACAAACATTTCCATTCATTTTACAATTTGAAGCGAACAAAACAATAAATTTCCGTGGACAAGTACGATTCGCAGAAACAATGCATTACCTATGCTAAACTTGGCACAGGTTTGAATTTTCTCTATTAGCAAATAATTCTTACTTTATTCATTGTAAGTTTTCAAAAGCAACTTCTATCTGATATCACTTTAAATTTCACTGTGGCGCCGAGAAAAAGAAAATATTGCTACATGTATTTATAACGAAAAATAACAGTTGAACTGCGTTTTACTACGTTTCCTGTTCCTTCCAATCTGTGATCACCAGAATTGATGTCAAAAAAAGAACGAATGAATATTCCTGCGGTACCGATTAAGAGAATCACAACTTAATATATTCTGCAAAGTCGCATGCAAATTGCTAAAGCTATTTGCTCGGTTTTGAGTCAATATTTTTCTATTTTTGATTTCCTTTTTAAGTTATTTCCATGATTATTTAAATTAATTCGGTATTTTCAACTTCCCCTGCATACAGATAAGTCTTACGACAGCAAGAAACCGTTGCATCCTATGGTACGCGATAAAAAAGTCAGCCTGGTGTTGATCACGAAAACTGTTCTTGAAAGCATCGTATTGTTTCATTGTCTTCGTAGTCTAAACATCCCAATTTCACACTCGCTAAAGTCATGTGAGAAAGCGGGATTGAAGCCAAACACTCAAATGCGCAGTTGTACACGTACTGAGTCGTCGACAATTTATGGCACAGTAAAATAATCTAACACTCAGATCATAACGTTAATTTTATCAAAATGTGAAAAATACTTCTCTAGCAGTAGCTCTTTAGAGAAACTGGCTGATAACGAAACAAATGATCCCTAACCAAGTCACGGTCAAGAATAAACGACAGAACATGTTCAAGTGACGGGATTTTCGCGAAAATGTTTACTAACATTAGCCTATCGCAGATCCACACGAGCGAGCATATTGTACTAAAGAGATACATCAGTACTGGCAGTTGATTGTCAACAGAGGAGAACGGAGGAGATAATAGCAAGACACGACTAAGACAAGGTTAGTGTCAATTTCGAAGCATTGAACTGTTTTAAAGAACAGTATAGCTGAGGTAGTTCTGGCCATCAACTTTGAGTCGCCGACCAGAATTAAGTCCAAAACAATTGCGTTTTCCTTTTTAAAGTAACGAGGGCAATTCGAAATGTTACCCCTATAAAGCAATTTGATAATGACCTTGCAAACGAGAGTTTGTAAACGTATGCTGAATTAGCAATCAAGCTCTCGACTTTATTTGTGGCAAGCAGTCTCGGAGAATCACTGCATGTCAACTGTTTATTTCAGTTCGTAACTGACAAACTTTTCTATTGTCGGTATTGTCGAGATCACGAGTTGAAAAATACTTGCCAACACAATTAGAGTATTGACTTCTTTTTTTGTGGAACTGACCCCCAAAAAAATATTGCGGGAATCAGTCTATCAGGTTCAGTCTCATCGTGAATTCAGTTCATTCGCCTTTGATATTATTATTCAGTTTGGGGGGAAATTGTCGTAACAGTATCTTCGAAACAATCCTTTATTTTATATAATTTTTACCCTTACCATGTTTTCTGCATTACCGAGTCTAATCTTCTTATAAACTTAATCCTGGATGGGGCTACTTAAATTTCAAGCAGATTTACAAAGTTTGCATGTATAGTTTACTAACAAAATGTTTTTTGTAGTATCACCAACAAGCAGATTTGATTCACTGAGTTCATCATGCAGTTAAGACATGCTTTCCTCTTGTGTTTGGCCGTCGTTTGCCATGGAAAATCGGTAATCACATTCTCTAAATTTTTAATCGATATTTAGCCCACTGATGTGGCAAATACATTAGGAAAATCAGGTTTTCCTTGGCTTCCCTCGTTTGTATAAAGTATGGCAGATTATTGTTAGTGTGATAAGCTAAAGTGGACATTGTGTTAAGGCATATGGAAATTATAATTTAACCTAGTAGACAGTCTAGGTATTTCTCAATAAAACGAATGTCGGAAAAGAGTATCTCAAAAAGAGTACACTGTAACTATTCATACTGTATTCACAATATACTCATTTCTTTTCCCTGCTTTGATCTTAAAAGACTAACGTGTCCACGAAAGATCCTAAACAACTGGACGCAGGGCAGAAAGGCGATTCCAGCTGTAAAGTAAGTGGCCCTTTATTATATTATTAATCTCATGTATACTGAATATTTTCCCGTGGACACCTTTTGCGGACACATAATAATCTGAGAGGTATGTATGAAACCAAGGTTTTGTTAGAGATCGGCAGAACCAATTACTGTGGATTGAGTGAAAAATTAGCCTTTGTGAAACAGTTGCCGCGTGAACAAGGTAACCAGATATAACTGCTAATTCATCTATTAAAGCGCGTCACATTTAGCCTGCGTTGCACCCGGACGTGTCATAAAAATAAAATCCCCAATATGGACTATACCGTGGTTTAGACTCTCTTCGACGCAGGCTAGTCACATCGAGAAGAGTTAAATTATATAAATAAATATACATCCATCGTGACTTTTTGTGCGTACCTGTTAAAGAGACTGTGTTGCAGCTGAGTGAAGTCTTTCTGTTACGTTTTGCTACGAAACTTAATGTTAGCAAAGAAATTACTTATGGATTCACAGCTTTATTACAAACAAATGTGTCTTCCAGGCGGTATAATTATAGGTATCAAACGAGATTAACTTTGAAAATTTTTCAGCCCATAGTTTTCCAAAATCCATATAACAATCCTTTTAAATCTTCTTCAATTTCTGTTCATCCACACCTTCTTTTATACTTGTTATTACTGAGATGTTCCTTTACTGTTTTATATTTTGGTGGCCATTCTCTTTCGATTCTCTTGCGTCCGCAAATTTGGCTAAAATCTGTGACACATGCAGTTCCGCTAACCTAAATGTCAGACATTTTCAAGCAACGCAATTCAATTTCTTTGCAAGGAAACCTTTGCCCAGGAAAAACTGCAAAGGCCAAACCAAGGTCTTGCGTCGATCATCTAAGAAATGGCGCCAACAGCTGTGGCTACTACAAGATTTACGATGCTGCCGGGAATGGATTCACTGTGTACTGTGATATGCAGACTGAGCCTGGTGCAGCATGGGCTCTTCTCATATCTTGGAGTTTTAAAAACAAGGGTTTCTCGCAATTCAGGTATTATTGTCTTTATAGTTCGCGTTATCTCTACCATCATCGCTGTTTCCCCAGACAAGAAAGCCATAAGTAAGAAAGGAATACACTAGGGAATGATATCGTGTTGAGCAAATATCGAAAAAAGTATAGAAAGTAGCAAATAAATGGTTGCTTCTACAAAAAAATAACGTATGGGCACTGAGATTTGAAAAAAAGTAGGAAAGGTTGAAAGTCCATATTGAACAATTGGACGGGGCTGAGCAAAATATTCGTTATCTGCAAGAGAAAGCACGATATCTTGAGATAACCGAGTTCAATAATTGTTCTTATCATTCAATCACCAAGTTTGTTTCTATATTTAAACCACTTCCTTAGAGCGAAGCGATCTGCCATTTTTCAAACAAGAGCGTGGTTAATATTACGCATGAGTGGAATATTTGCAGCAAAACAACTTTAGACCGTATTACGCAAGAGCAGACCATTATTTGTAAACCGTTTCACTGGATAAGAGAACGCAGGCTCTGGCAACAAGAGTGTGGAGGCAGTTATTTGTAGATCACGTGGTGGGCCCTTGGCCAATAAAAAAAAAA